CTGGGGGAGGGGGAGCAGGACGTCTAGCCTGAGCCCCAGCCCACCCTCCATCCCCACTCCCTGCTCACCCCACAGACTCACAATCCTCAGGACTTTGCTCTCCTTCTCAGCCGCTGCACAGTCCTGGAAGCAGAGAGAGAGCAGGGACCTACCCTGAGTACCGGGTACTGCCTTCTCCCGACAGCAGGGTGGGATTCCTGTACCCTGGCCCCCTTCCCAGAACTCCATGGCCTAAGAATTTGGCCCCAAGGTCTCGTCCCCCTGACACCAGGCCCCCAGAAGTCACCACACACGCCCTCCCCTGCTCCACTCCCTCCTGAGAGTCAAGCTTCCTGAGCTCCCCTGCCAACCAGGAGACCCCTTGCCCCCATTGCCCCATACCCAGTGGCTGGGCCACCTCTCTTCCTGCCCTTGCCTCTTCCTGCCCTCACACCCGATCCTGTGCTGATTCACAGGTTATAAAAAGCTCTAGCCTGACTTGGTCTCTGCGGCCTGGGCCAAGCCCGGCCCCTGGTTCTCCTACCTCCTGCAAGGCCTGGCCCAGCTCTCCGCACAACTGCCCAATCTCCTGGCAGGCCGAGAAGTCATTTAAGTGGGAGAAGAGGTACCTGGCAGGGGGAAGGATGGAGCAGTGGTTAGGGGACTGTGCTTAACAGTCAAGTCACAGGACCACTTGGGGCTGACTATTCATCTGAGACTTGGGGATAATACCTGCTCTGATGGGTTTTATTTTGGGGTAAAGGAGATGATTGATACCTCTCAGGAGCTTAGCAGAGGACTTATTTGTCAAGCAGCTAATACAAGCCAGGCCCTGTCCTAGGCAGTAAGCAGACAGACATTAAACACATAATTACATCAATAATGATTTGATTTCAACTGCTCTGAAGTGTCAGGAGCTCTGAGAGTGTGTAAAGGGAAGGCTTCCCTGAGGAGGTGACATTTGAGCTGGGACCCGTGGGACCAGCAGCAGCCAGTGAAGGGGGTGGAGAAGCTCTCCATGCAGTGTTGTTGATATGACTGTTATGATGATGTGCTGGGGGTGGGGTGGGAACCCAGGCATCCCAGTGCAGCTGCACAGACCAGCTACCCTCCTTGCCCTGCTCCGCCACATCTGAACAAGAGCCAAGCTCTGTTTTTCTCTCCCAGACCCTGAAGAAGGCTAAGGATGAGAAGGGTGCCCTCACTCGTCACCTGGACCCTGGGAGGAGCCTGAGGTACCTGTTGAGCCAGAAGAGGAGGGTACGCGCCTCATGTACCAGGTCTACAGCTGCACTGAGGACATCGGCAGGGGGCTCGGCACAGCCCCCCAGGTGGCCTTGGACTAAGCTCCGGAAGGCATGGGTCCCCTCCAGCAGCCCCTCTGTCAGGCTCTGCAGGTTCTCTGTCTGTAGGCCGGAGCTCTGTGCCAGAGAGGGGGCAGGTCACCTCCCTGGCAGTGGCCAGCCCCCTATCAGCAACCCCCAGGGGGTGGAAGCTGCAGCCAGTGTGGCCACCATTCACTTACCAGGGCCCGGAGCTGCTCCACCCCTTCCAGGATGAGCTCCTGGTGGCCCAGAGGCCACACAGTTAGAGCCTCAAGGCTGCGGGGACAGAGCTGGAGCAGGTACTTGCCAGGCAGCTCCCAATCTTCAAAGCAATAGTCCTGCAGGGAATCATCGAGGCCTGGAGGGAGAGGAGGCGTTGGCACAGGGGCAGCCAGGGAATGTCATGGCCTTTTTGGCCAGTTCTTCACTCCCACAAAGCCCTTTTCCCTCCCATTTGTTACTAATGACAACCCTGAGACCCGGGCTGTGTTCTGCCCATTTCACAGATGAGGCTACTGAGTTGAGATGTAGGAGAGTATAGGGCAGTGGCTCTCAAAGGATGGTGCCCAGACCTGCAGCAGCAGCAACCTCCCTGGAGAACTTGTTAGAAATACAACTTCTGGGCCCCATGCCATGCCTGCTGGATCAGAACTCAGGGGAAGGGCCCAGCAGTTTGTTTTAACAAATCCTGCAGGCATTTGATGCTTGCTGAAGTCTGAGAAGTACCGATACAGGGCATAAGAGCATGGGGCTTTGCAGTCAGGGAGACTGGAGTGCTAGCACTTGAGCAAGTAACTTAATTGTCCTCAGTTTCCTTACCTGTAAAATGGGGATAATAAAAGCACCGACCTTCTAATCATCTGTGTGTTAAATGACATGACATATATCAAGCACTTGGCCCATTCCCTGGCTCATGGTAGTCCGTCAACAACCACCATATGATTATCGCCAGACTCTTTACCATCATCTACAAGGCCCCGAATGATCAGGCCACCGCCTGCCTGTCCAGACTCCTCTCTTGGCCCAGGCCCCAAACTCAGCACTTCAGATCCAGAGCACTAACTCCCTGTAGCATCTGGAAGGCTCTTTTTCCTCAGGGTCCTTACATGCGCTATTCCTTCTGCCTGGACTGCTCTTCCAGCTCCTTCACTCCCTTTTTCATCCAACTCCCTCCAGGAAGGCTTCCACAACTCCCCAGGCTAGGTCGGAGGCCTCTCCTGCTCCCACTGCACCCTCTGCCTCCACAAACCCCTGCACCTGGGCCTCCGCCTCTCCCACTTGCTCACGAGCTCTCCAAGGGCTGGGCCTGAAATAACTTCATCTCTAAGGCCAGCCCATGCCCAGCACAAGGGAGACACTCAAAAACAAGAAAAATATCTATTGAATGCTTACTATGTGCTAGGCAGAATTTTAAGGGCTTCATACATATTAACGCGTTTGATCCTCACCAAATCTAGGAGGGAGAGACCACTGTTATTCCCATTTTGCAGATGGGCAAACTGATACAAATAGAGATTAATAGTTCGCTTGCTCACTCTGAAGAAATTCCTCCCATTCCAGGCCAAGTTCCTCCATGGGGTATGTGCGTGTGATCAGTAGCTCTCCCTCATTCGCTGTGTGACATTAAGAGCACTGGACTAGGAGTTCATGAACCTGTCACTCCATGGCTACGGGCCCTCAAGCAACTCCCTTTCCACCTACAGTGAAAGTGCTGTGCTGCGTCCCTCCCAACAGACCCTGACACTGAGCCACACATGCTGGCACTTGTCACAAGTGTCTCATTTTGTCCACCTCAAGAGCTCAGAGTTGGGCTGGCCCGGTGGCACAGCGGTTAAGTGCGCACGTTCTGCTTTGGCGGCCCGGGGTTCGCCGGTTCAGATCCCGGGTGTGGACACAGCACTGCTTGGCAAGCCATGCTGTGGTAGGCGTCCCACATATAAAGTAGAGGAAGATGGGCACGGATGTTAGCTCAGGGCCAGTTTTCCTCAGCAAAAAGAAGAGGATTGGGAACAGTTAGCTCAGAACTGATCTTCCTCAAAAAAAAAAAAAAAAAAAGCTCGGAGTTGCTTTTCTCATTGTGGATAGGGAAACTGAGACCCATGGTCACAGAGCTGGTGAGGGGACGGGCTGGACCTGGAAGCCAGCCTGGGAGTCTGACTCCAGCCCTGAATCGCTGCTTTTACTGGGGGTGGTCACCCTGAGCCTGCCGGCGGTGTACTCCTGCTGCCCCCTCCACTCCAGCTCCCCTCTCCAGGAGGGATGTCCTGACTCACCTCCCCCCTCCCAGCTGCTTGTCAGAAGGTCCTCATTTCTCTGAGTCTGTCAGCAGTCTGGGCCTTTGCCACCCCTCTAGGCTCACCGAGCCTGGGGAGCATCTACCCTGGAGGCCCCTAGGGTAGGGCTGTGACAACTCCTTCAGTCTGGCTGGGGCTTGTCTTCTCTCACTGGGAGCCTCAGGATGGGGAGAAGGGAAAAGACACCAGGGCCGGCCCTACTGCAAAGCCTGAGCAAATCACTTGCTGGCTCAGTGCGCCAGTTTCCGCTTCTGAAAAATGGGTTTAATAACAGCCCACTGCACCCTAGGGCGGAGGGAAGATGGAGGAGATAAAGTGGGCGTGGGCCCCCCGCCCCCTTCCCACCGCTGTTTTCTTTACACAACCACCGCCTCCCCGCAGCCTCTTGGGATGCTGGGGCGATGGGAGACCCCTTCTGGGTCCTCAGCCCCGCCGGAGTCATTTCGTCGATCTTTCTGCCTAGCACGGTACCAGGTTTATAAATACTTGTTGACTGACTAACCAACTGACAGTCTCGGCAAGTCCTTTTTCCTTTTCCTCTCCCCGTCCCAGTACCCCTCAAGCCCAGCTCTGCCCCAGCCCTACCCACCTCTCAGCCAAGCTGCCACCTTTCCAGGGGTCCAGGTTGCTACAGGCTCCATAGCCGAGATCGGCCCGCTTGGATCGACGCCCGCTCCTCCCGCCAGCGCAGGAATTTCCGCTCCCGGAGACCAGGCCTGGGGAGGGGCTGGGCTGGGCCCTGGGCGGAGCCACCGGCATACCTGGGCCCATGTGGCTGGCCAGGTGAGGCGCTGGGACAGCCATTGGCCCACCGCTGGTCCGCCTCCTACCTTGGTCTTCAGGCATCCTAGGCAGTTGGGCAGCCTGACTCTGAGGGCGGTGCCACTGGTGTGTGACCCAGGTGACCTCAGAACCAGTCTGAGATCCTGCCCCAAACTGGCCTCAAATCTCAGGGCCAGACCTTGACCTTCAGGCTCCCTGCAAAGGGGCCCAAAGGTGAGCAGTGAGCACAGCCGCAAAGCCCAGAGGTCAGGGAGCCAGAAGGCTGGGTGCAAATCCCAGCTGTGCAGCTCTTAGCTGTATGACCAGGGGCTCACCCTACCCACAGTGCATCAGTTTCCCTGTCTGTAAAATGGGCTGCTGTGCAGAGTACTTGACTCTGTAGCTTTAAAACCTTTAGAACAGGGGTTTTTAGGCCCTTCTTTTTTTGCACAGACCCTTCTGGCAGTCTGGTGAAACCTATGGACCCTTTCTCAGAATAGTGCTTTTAAAAGCATAAAACAAAATGTCAAAGATTACAAGAAGGGACAATTATTATCAAAATATATTTTAAAAAACAAAATTTATGATATAGTAATATGTAACAAGACTGGCAAGTTAAAGTTAAGTTTTCCTTTTCTAGAGACATCAGTGTATTGTCACGCAACTTGAATAAGAACAGTGAACTGTGGGGTGGTCTTTGAATCACCTCTTCTCACACATTGATCAGCAAACAGCTGAAGATTGGAAATGCAGGCGAGTAATGGAGAAGCCTGGGTCACCGCATGAGAACAGGCGGATTCACCATTTGGTCACTGACTCTCTACTGGACACGGAGGTGCCCGATCGAAGGCAGTTATGTTGCAGAAGTGTCTGAAACTCTGTGTGATGTAGTGGTGGGTTAATAACTATCACGATTTTGAAATAGTTATGAGTATAGATAATATTTTGAGGTACTTGCAATAACTACAATTTGATATAAAAATATCTGTGATTCCTATTGGTGAGAAAGCCACAGATACTGCTAATACTTCAATCCATAAAAAAGGAAATGGTAAATTTTCATTAGATGTTAGTGAAAGTAAATATATATATATATATATTTTTTCCCATCCAAGTTTACGGGTCCCTGAATTCTGAGGCCCAGGTTAAGAGGCTTCCTCTTAGGACAATATCTGAAACACACCAAGTGTTTTATCTTTGTCATCATCATCCCAGGCCAGGGGACTCCCAGGACTTTGGAACTGGACAGAATCAGTTCCACTTGCTGTGTGACTGAGCCCAACCCCTACACCTTTCTGAACCTGTTTCTTCCTCTCTAAAAGAGGAACACCTAGACCTTAGTGCTGTGAGGAGGTCCTTTAAGCATTTTGACATCTGTAACATGGGGTAGATCTGAATTATTATTGCTTTAATTCTGTGAGAAGGGGCCCAGGAGACTTTTCCAGAGCCTGCACCTCCGACCCGGTCACCTAATTCAGAATCTCTACTAGCACCCCAATACTCAGTCTTCAAAGCCTGTCACAATCTTGCCTCTAACCCAGAGACCCACATTCTGAATTTGGCCCACAGATGGCCAGCGCAGTGCATGTGTTTTAGTTGTCATCATTTAATAATTTCACCTACAAACTGAGTTCTCTGGAATTCAGCCAGCTCTGCTGACCCCCTCCCACCTTCACACGTGGCATCAAACACAAGTGCAGATCGAAGGCTACTTCCTTCAGGGGGACTCCAGCTCACCAGGTCCCTGCAGGCCTTGCTCCTTTGTTTGTGAACCAGTAGGCTCCAAATTTGCAACATGGCCCTCACCTCTCTGGCTCCATCCTTTGCCTCACGTCCTCACACACTGCACTGTGTGTGTCCCTCCAACGCTCCTCCGTGCTGCAGCCTCCTATAATGTTTTTGCCTCTTCCTACAACAGCCTCCCTGTGGCACTCTGGGAAAGCCCAATAAACAGATCTGTCTCCGCCATCCTGATTTCATCAAACAAATACCCTGAGCTGGCACAAGATACAGAGGTGAGAAGACAGCCAGCCACTCTCTGAATTCACCAGCCTGTAGAGGAGAAACAGACCAGAACTCACCACTTGTACTCAGCTACTGCCCTAAAAGGACGGGGGCCTAACAAGCACAACCACGCCTTTACTCTGTGCCTCTCGCACCTGGCAGAGCTAGCCACGTAGGGGGACAGTAAATGGCAGCTTCTATTTTAAAGGTAGTTTTATGAGTTCCAAAAGTTCTTTCTACATATTTGCTGTAAAAATTTCAAAGGCAACAGTAGGTCACTAAGTGAAAGGAGGGCATGCCCTTTTCCCAGCATATCCTTGTTCCATTCCCCAGTGGTGGCATCCGGCAAGTTTTCTGGGTGTTTTTCCATTTTTTAAATATGCAGATACTGTACATACTATTCTGCAAATACGCTTTTTTTTTCATTTTTATGAGCTAATCAATACCAAATAAAATAATACACGTAAAGTGCTTAGAATAATGCCCAGCACAGTCAGCTACTATTTTTTAGCACACCAGAGACAGCCTTCTTAATCAGTATATGCAAATCTTTTTATTATTGTCCCCAAGCTGAGGGTAAGGAAGTCCCTGCAGGAACTCCGTCTTGTGGAAAGGGGTGAAATGTGCCCTCCCCCAAGGTAAGGGTGGTTGATGTAACAGAAACCAAGTGAAAAAAGCACACTCCCCCTCCTTTGCAGAGAGCTGATTGGTAACATCTAATCATCTGAGGTGGGGATACAGCTGGGACCAGCGCTGGGGAGGCCTCCCAGTACCTGGTCCAGGCCTGAGACTCCTGAGAGCTTCTAGGCAGGCCCTCTCCTGCCTACCCAGCCTGGCCTCCCCGGTGGGTGGGGGAGGTGCTGCTCAGGCCTGATGCTGATCTCTCCTGACAGCTGCTCCTAAGGCTGGCAGTGCGGGCAGCCGGGCGGGGGGAGGGACAGATTTAAAGGTCCAGTTGCCCCACCCCCTGCCAGATGAGAGGGCACACGCTGGTGAGCATCCTCTGAGCGCATAAGAGAGGTCAGGACCCTCTATGCGCTGATTTCCGTTACTTGGTACCATGAACACCACTGGTCTTCATTCCTGCTTCCACCCCGAAGGCCGCTAGGGAGACCAGCGACACCCACCATGCAATTTCGACGCCTGACCCCTGGCTACTTCCGGGTGCTACAGGTAAGTACCCCTAACCAATGGCTTTTGGCATCGACCCCTTAATCTCCCTACCATGGCTGGGTTGACACCCCAAAAGCCAGGCCGTCACGTTCCCTGCCGCCTGAGCGGCCAAGGCCCAGATGGGCAGTGAAGCGAGAGGGATTGGGGTGGAATCTCCCTGGGGCAGCAATGGCATTGGTATCTCCTTCACCCAGCTGTACTTTCTCGGCCCCTTCCCCCACCCCCCACCTTCCTAGAAGTCTTGACTGACCCCTTAGGTGCTACTCTCCTTGCACGTCCAGATGCAGGTGGCCGGGAAGCTAAAGGCAGAGCCCCGGAGTCCACTGGCTGGGGTTGTGGCTACACTGCTGGCTGTCCTCGGGCTGGGCGGCTCCTGCTATGCTGTCTGGAAGATGGTGAGGCAGCAGCGGCCGCCACAGGCCCCATAACAGGCCCTAGGGGTAGGTGACTCAGAGGGGGCTGCAATCTCAGGAGCCTACTTCTTTTCTGGGGGTCAATCCCTGCCCTCATGGGAAGCAGGACAGTATAAACCTGACCCTACTCCCCCCGCCCCGCACCTGGGCTCTGTCTGGGGCCTCCAGTTCAGATGTCAGGACCCCTAAGAAAAGGCAAGGATGCATGTTCCAAAGCTAGGCCAAGTGAGGAATAAACACCCTAGGCCCCTTACACAGGAATAGTAAAGAAACCCCTGCAGGGCAGAGTTTGGGGGAGTGGCCTGGAGGTTAGAGTCAGAGGCAAGCCCCCTTCATCCAGTTCCTTTATTGGGGGGAGGGGACCCAGAGTGGGCCATCCACTCCTCAAACCCAGAGCCAAAAGCGGATAGCACAGTCTCTCCAGCCTAGCGCTTGCACCACTGTCCATGGGCAGCTCCTCTGCTTTGCATCCTCAGGCCATGTCAGGTAGATGTGTCCATCTCAGGCACCTCTGTGGACACTTCTGTGGGCACTGCCAGCCGCTGGGGGGGCACATAGGAGCCCATACCCGCTGCCCTCTCGGCCTCTTCCTGACTGTAAGGCTCCACGCTCAGCTGCTTTAGCCTGGGAGAAAGAAAAGTAGGAGTTGGGAGCCGACCAGATGCGAGCCCTGTCTGCCTGACACCCATCCCTCAATCCTCTCCTTACTCCTTCATACCTTTTCTTGTGGTCTTTGGATCGGAAGTGGGTCTTCAAGGTGGCGGAATCGATGAAGTACCTCCTGTAGGGATGGGGGTAAGAGGAGAGTGAGGAGGTGATGCCTCTCAGGTACGCCTATCTCCTGACCCTAGCTCGTTCCCTGACACCAGGCTCCGGGTCTGAAGGGATGGGAGGCCAGCAGACCCACGGGTCCCAAGAGAGGAGACCCTTCGCGCCCCGGGGCCCGAACTCACACCCTCCGCCCATACCGCGGACCCTTTTCCTCCTCAGGCCGGGTCCGGCCAGGACTCACGCGCAGGCCAGACAGCGATGCAGGCCGCCCCCTGGCAGGTCGGGGTCAGGCTCGGCGCCGGGGTCTGGCCGGGGCCGTGCGGAAACCTGGGGCCGCAGCTCGCGGTGAATCTCATCCAGGTCCGGCCGCCGCCGCTTCGCCTTCATCTGGCGGGCCAGGGAGTGCGTTCGGTGCGCGCCCGTCCGGCGGGAGCGACCCATGGCCGGTGACAGCGGGGCCAGGACCCAGAGCCGAGCTGCGAGCACACGTGCGGGTGCTTCCGGACTGCTCAGTGACGTCATGCGACACCCGGGAGCACAGCAGGCTCCGCAGACCGCCTCTGATGACGTCACTCGCACGGGCCGCGCCTTGAGCGCCCCCAGGCGGCCGCTGACGTCAGTGACGGGGTTTCGGGCGGGGTCTGTCGAGGCGTCCTCACCCTTCTCCGTGAGGCCGCCTCTGAGGAGCGGCCGGGTGGTGGCTGCTCTGGGGGTATTCCGGCTAGTTCCGTGGCCCTGCCCCCTCTGCCTGGCCCAGCCTATCTCAGCGCCATCCTCTGACCCTGTCACCCCTTCCTCGTTCCCAGACCTCACACTCCACGGCGGAGGGGGAATGCTTTAAGCATCTCTGGGAGGCACTGAAAAATGCCTGTGATGTGAATCAATTAATAAATGAATGAGAGTGAATCAGCTTGGGATCCTGGTCCCGGAGAGGGCTTCCCAAGATACCTCCAAATCCCTAACAAAGCCCTCACCACTTCTCCCAGCTCCCCAGTTATTCCCTCGGGTCTCCATCGTCTATCCGAGCCCGGCCAAATCTGTGAGGAACGGTGTTCCTCCCAAAGATGACAGTGCTCAGGCGTTCTGCCAGACAGAAGAGGGGTCAGCTCCTCTCACAAGAAGAGGAAGTGCTCATCGAAGGACCTCCCATCTTTGTCCCCTTTCTCTGAGTTCTGGACTCTCAGGCATGGGCTGGCAACAAAGGCAGAGATACAGCCTGGGTGTTGTGTGCTCAGAGTAGGGAGAGGACCAGCGAGCCATTCCCCATTTACCAGAGCCTCGAGCCTTCCGGAGGAGCTCAGCAATAATTCAGGGGCTCCAGCTCTTTGGGATCTATTGCCAGGAAAGAAGGAGGCAGGCACGTGCGTCCCTGGGGAGAGGAATCAGTTTCCAGCCCCGACAAAGCAGTGAAATGCAAGCCGGGGGCACCGACGGGAGTCCTTGGGAACTTCCTGTTCCAGTTCGTAGAGGCTGAGTGGGGACACAGGATGGGGCCCTGCTGAGGGCACAGCTGCTATTGGCTACAGTCACAAGGACTTTGTAAATAGACTTTGCGAATGGAAGAGAATTTTTCTGAAGCCATTCCAAGAGATTAAATTCAAGTACTCCTAGGCCCAGGAAGGAGGCCTCTGTGGAGAGAGATGTCTTCGTTATTCTTGGCCAATATGACAAGGGGCTGAGGCAGCAGAAGCCTACTCTGTCCCACCCCCACCCCAGACCCCTTTGGATCAGGTTCACTTGCTGGGCACCCTGCCAGCTAGGGATGCTGGTGCATCTTTAATGAAGTCACCCGATCCTGGGACAAGTTCTTGGCCTCACCAAGTTCCTGGAGCCAGACCACTGGGTGCCCACTGAGCCACAGCCTTCACATGCCTGTATGCCAGGCCTGTTTCCCCTACAGCCATGAACCAGGCCTTCTGGAAAGCTTACAAGTCCAAAGTGCTACAGACCCTGAGTGGGGAATCTGAGGAGGACCTGGCAGAGGAGGTGGGTACCAACCATGCTTGCTGAGTGGGGCCTGGGCAGAGGGGCAGCATGAGTGTAAGGTACAAAGAAGGGCAAGGGACAGGCTCAGAGAGAGAGAGGGCACATTTGTGCAGAAGCAATTGGCACATTGAGGGATGACAAATGGCATGGTGCAGTGTCAGAAAGCCAGGACATTCAAGAACACTGAGGAAGAAAAGAAGACCTGAGGGCACCAGAGGAGTGGTTGCTGTCTCCAGAGATCTCAAGGGCTGCCACATGGAAGAGATCCTTCTAGGACCAGTGTGCAGTAGCCACACGTGGTACACTTAGCTCAACACAACTTTTTAATGGGCAGAGCTGAGCAGAAGCAGGATGGCTTGCCTTGAGAGGAAGTGAGCTCCCTAGTATTCAAAGTAGAGGACGTGGCCCTTGTACTCTGAGGGTCACTGTAGCACCATCAGATCAGAGCCATCCTTGGACCGTGTTTGTCCTGACATCAAAAGGATTGAAAAGGCTCTGAAACAGCCTTAGGTCTGGAGGCCGTGATAAGTGGCAGTTGTGCAAATAGATGCGGCAGGGGCAGGAAGTCCTTCTGTGGCGTGTGTGTGAATAAGTGTATGTCTAGACAGGTGGGTGTCCAGGGCCGGGCTTGTGTAGAAGTACTTGTGGGTCAGTATTAGGACTGTGGAATCTCAGTGAAGGTGTATGTGCAGCTATGAACTGGGTATAGGTATTTTCAGGTGTGTACATTTTGGGCAGAAGTCTATGCCAGCATACCTCTGTGCAGGCATTTGCAGGTGTTATGTTTGTATGGTGCATGTGTTTGGGTGTGTACACATCTGTCTCTTGGTGTCTGTGGATGTGTCAAGAGGTTTTGTGTGCCATGGGTGGGCCTCTGTGCATCTGTCTGCAGTTGTGTAAGTGCACAGGTGTGAATGGTATGTGTCTGTGTCCTTGTGTAGTTTCCTCATAGTATGAACCTCGATGTACAGGTGAAGAGCAGTAGCCATGGGGAGGCATGGTCATGTACAGGTGTGTGCCTACATCAGCGTGCATGCCCTGGTCCACATGTTATTGGGTATATCTGGAGGTGTCTGTGGGTGGGCAGGTATGTGTGCTTAAGGCCATCTGCAGGGATTTACTATGTGGGTGATGGATGTGGCTAGTAGCTTTGTGTAGAGGAATACCTGTATGCGTTTGTGGAGAGTGCAAGGGGACTAGATATGTGCTTAGTTCTGTGGGGTTTGGGGTGCCTGGTCTGTATGTACCAGGCTAGCAGTAGGAGAGGGAGGTCCCATTCCTCTGGGGTCTCTCTCATGCTGGGTGGGGGTCTTGTGTCCCAGAGGGAGAACCCAGCCTTAGTGGAGTCTGAGACAGCGGAACCCACTGAAGAGGCCTTCAGTCCCATGTCACAGCTGGCCCGCCGGGTAAGTTCTCCCTTCTTCCACCCCAGCCCTGGGAAGCGTGGCAGAGGCAGCTGGGGGTGCTGGGGCCCCTCTCTCACTCCAAGCCCCTCCCTCACAGGTTCAGGGGGTCGGGGTAAAAGGTTGGCTGACAATGTCATCTCTGTTTAACAAAGAAGATGAGAACAAACTGCTACCACCGGAGCCCTGTGCTGACCAGTATGTATGTGTGTGTGTGGAGGGTTCTGGGATGGGCCTGGGGTCCCCCTTCTCCCATGTCCTTTCCATCTGGTCTATTTGTCTGTCTTTCTGACCACAGAGAGTTAGGGAGGGCCAGCCCCCGGGCTGTTTCTGTTTCTCTCAGCAGGAAAGAGGCCAAATCAGCATATCTGGGAGATTATGTTAGATCTCAGGAGGAATTTACCAGCTGTTGGGATTGAGGTGCTAGAAGGTATTATGGGCTCTCTCTCCCCATCCATGAGGGAGGGGTCATCTCCCTAGAATCAGGGAACCAGGGAGCCCAGGAGAGAACCCTTAGGTGTCTGGAACAGAGGGTGGTCCAGATCAGTGGCTCCCAAATATTGGTCTAAATCCTCACCCTCCCAGGGAGCTTGTGACAAACACACATTTCCAGACTCTCCTTCAAAGACTCTAATTCAGCAGGTGTGGGCTGAGACGTGGGCTCGATATTTTCAGCAAGCACCCTCCAGACCCAAGGCACAGTAGTTTAGGACACTGTCTTAGAAGGTCTTTGATGCTGGGGGATTGGCGGGTGGGACCCAGGACCTCAGTTTTCCTCCTAGCTCTATCTCTGGCACACATTCCATCTCTGCCCTTTCCTCCAGCCTAGTCACATCCCCTTTTTGACACTCCCCTGTTTCCTTCTCCCCAAGGGCCCCCCTGACCCATCCAGATCCTGCCCCAGGGTTTCCTTTCTCTCTCCCGGCGTCCATTCCCCGCTCCCTCCCAGCTCTCCAAGGACTCTCCCTCAGCCCTAAGGCTCCCACCTCAAACCTCCTACCTCAAGCCTCCTCACCGCTCCTTGATTGCCGTTCTCCCCACATCTTCCTGCTTCCTCCCCAGTGCCCCCCTCCCCTAAGCCTCTGATCCAGGCCCTCCTTCTTCCCTCGGGGTCACTCCACCGTTCTTCCGAGTGTTCCCCCATTTTTCTGGTCCCCCTAGTCCTCCATCCCAGAACCTGATACCCGTCCGTGCTCCGCCTCTTTCCCCAGGGCTCCACGCTTGCCTTCTCTTCCGGGCCCCCGCCTCCAGAGCCTGACCCCGCCCCCTCCGCGGGTCTATCCCCCCCACCCTCGGTGTCCTACTCCTCCCACGCATCCTTGGGCCCCGCCCCTTTCAGGGCTTCTCCCCCAGATTCCCGACCTGGCGTCTCAGGCTTCCCTCCTCTGGCCTCATCCTTCTCTCCGAGTCCCTTCCCTGACCCCAGCTCTCTCCCCAGGGATCCTGATCCCGGCCCCCTCTTCCCAGATCCCTCACCTAATCCCCTGCCCCACCCCAGCCCCTTTTCCCAGTGCCTCAGAGCCCTCACGTTGCCTCCAGGCCCCGCCCTGCCCCCTCTTTCCCGGGCCCCTCTGGTCACCTGACCTCGCCTTGACTCCCCTGGCCCTACTACTGGTCCCTTGGCCCCGCCTCCTCTCCTTCGTCCTCTCTGGGGCCTCTCGGCCGGCCCTTGACCTCGCCACTCTCCCGCAGCCCGCTGGCTGCGCGGCCCTCCTCGCAGGCTGCGGCGGCGGCGGAGGCGGAGCCGCGCGGGCCCGGCTTTTGGGACGCGTTCGCCAGCAGGTGGCAGCAGCAGCAGGCCGCGGCGGCGTCCATGCTGCGCGGCGCCGAACCCACCCCGGAGCCGGACCCCGAAGCTGCGAACGAGGCCGCGGAGGAGGCCACCGAACGCCCCGAGTCGCCGGAGGCCGACGCTGCGACCGGCTTCAAGTGGGGCTTCCTCACCCACAAACTGGCCGAGATGAGGGTGAAGGCTGCGCCCAAGGGCGACTAGCAGGCCGGCTGAACTGCGTGCCCGCTCCTCCCCTCCGCTCATAAAAACCCTGGCCCGACACCCCGTGTGACCGCGTGCTTTTGTGTGGACAGCGGGGAAGACTGCTTTTGGGTGGGCATACTCAGGGCGGGGCCCATCTGGAGGGGTCCTCCCTCCCTTCCCCCACAAACGTACAGGGAGAAAGTGACCAGAGACAGCCCGGGTGTCAGGATAGACTGTTAGATGTAAGGTGCAACTTTCCACACACCTGGGGAACCCCAGAGGACTGGCCCCGTCGTCCTGTCCAGCCTCTTTTAATTCGACAGACGTTGCCTGGGGTCCTGCCGCTTGCGCCGTCGGTGTACTAGGGGAAGGGCAGAGACTAACGAGAGAACTCAGACTACCAGCAGGTCCCACACAAGGCGACAAGCTGAGGCACAAAAATAGGGCTGTATTTGGGGGCTCAGAGGAGGTGAGCCCGACTGGGGAATTCGGGAATTCCTGAGGGAGAATGAATGTGCATAATCTTAGAAAGATGAGTGGAGAGAAAAGGGAAGGTAACCCAGGCTAGGGAGGAGGACCGTGAACAGACTTAAAGGTGCGATGATGTGAGGACGACAGGTGGCTTTGTGTGTCTTTGAGGGAAAGGAAGAGAGTGGCAGGATGTGAGGGTGTGGGTTGGTATATGTGCTGCCGAAGCGAGCACTGAGGGTACGGATGGGCAAAATCCTGGTTTGAAGGGTCCCTTCTTTTACTGTCCTCAATTCTGGGTCCTCCATGTCTCAGGCCCTTCATACCTAGTAACCAAAAGGGGGCAGCAAATCTCCAGGAATGGGGGCCTTTTAGGGACCAGTGGACCCTAATTTCTGGAGCAGATCTCTACCCGAACTCCCCAAACGCGCTATTCCGGGCCGCCAGCTCTGGTTTGGACCGACCTGGGGGTCGATGGAGGAGATGATCATAATAATGAGAGTACTAATTTGATAGTGGTCCTAGCAGCTATTGGTTATTGAGCACTCGTTATATGCTGGACACTTTTGCCATGCGCTTTACGACCATTTCAAAAATACTTTGATCGCCGAGAGGTGCAGCTGCGGTCCCGAGAGGTTGAGTGCTTGCCCAGGGTCACAGCCTGAAACCACACTCCAAAACCCTCGCGTGTAACCACGCAAACCCGCCCCGCCCCCTTCCTCAACTTCTCTCTAATCCAACCTCACGACTCCTTTAAATAAAGTTTTGGCTTTATTCAGCAGATTCTTTGATCTCCCACCCCAGTCTTCGATCCCCAGACCCGGCCTCCACAGGGGCCACGAGGCGGCCACCTCCCCTTCCGCGTTCTGCGGTGAGAAGGGCCTCCGAGATTTTGTCCCATACCCCCACGGTTCACTTCGGGAAGCCGCGATCCAGAGTGAAGGGCTTGCCCAAAGGCACCTTGCGCTTCAAAGGCGGGGTATCCCTGCGTGTGCCCAGGTCCAGTCCCGCGCTCACCCCTTGCCCCTCCCCGGACCCCGGACTCCCCGGGACCCCGCTCCGGAGCGGCCGATGTCACACTTCGGACTCGCGGGGCGGGCCGCGGGCGCGCTGGCAGCCATACAACCACTGGATGACGCGCGCGTTGCGCTCCACCACCGACACAGGCGGGCGCCCATCCCGCGCCGAGCCCGCCGCTTCCGAGCCCCCGCCGCCGCCGTCCGCACCGTTCGGGCGATCCGTGCCGCCGTCGCTGGACGTCCAGTCGCTGGTGTCCCCGGATCCGGGCGGCAGCGACGATCCAGGCTGGGGGCTGGCGTCGGCCCCCCAACTCTGCGGAGAGAAGCGCTCGGCGCCCAGCACCTCCACCAGCGCGCGCTCCAGGCCGCAGTAGTTGAAGAAACGCTCCTTCTCCGATAGGGGCAGCGAGCACGTGGGGCACAGCGCCCTCTTTCCCGCCGCTTCCGGGGCATCTTGGGGCGCAGACCAACCCCCAGGAGCCGCAGGTCTTTCCAGTGGGGCCGGGCTGCTCGAGGCGGCGTCTCGGGGGGCTCCTAGGAAGAGGCGCCGCACCAGCCCCTGGCCCTTGGCGTTCTCTTTGTTCACAGAAGCCTTGCAGTCCCGCTTCTGGCGATAGAAGATGAGAGAGTCAGGCCTTGGCAGTCGTCTGCCGCTGCCTCGGCGGGCGGGTCTGGGCGTCCGGGGCGATTCAGAGGGCCCCAGCTCATTGCAGGGGTGCGGCGTCAGCGGCCCGGGACCCCCGCGCAGAGCTGGCTCCTGGCGTCGCGCTATCACCTGATGCGTCTTGACATACTTGGCTTTGTCGGCCTCTAGCCTCTCCACTGCGCTGGGGGTCCGTCCCCTGGACGGGGTGGAGGGAGAGGCCTGGAGCATCTTAGCAGAGTTGGTCAGGACAGTGCCCCATAAGCCACTGGAGGTAGGCAGCTAGTTGAGGAGGGGAGAGCAATTGGCTGGAGCTCCCTGGGGCCTGCAGGGAAAGAGGAATGGTCAGGGGGAGAGTAGGAGATGTCCCTGCCCCTCTCATGCAGGCATTCCTGGGAATAGGATCAGCCAGCCACCCCTCCCCCATCCAAGTCAGCCGGTACCATGCCCTTCCCCTCATCCCTCAAAGACATTCAACAGGGGCTCCCTGGCCACCCAGAAACGTATGCTCCTTTGAGGGTGCCACAATCTGGCCAAAGGGCCATGCCAAGTAGGCATCAGAGAGCAGGGGACTTGGAAAAGGAAATGGGGCTGGTCCCTGCCCGATTCCCGACAGTGGCCTCAACCGGAAAAAATACCTCTTCCCAACCCAGCAACTTTGAGTCCAAGACAAGGAGGCTTCCCAGCCACAGGCTGGCTCCAGCAGGGCCCACCCTTCCCGCCCCCAAGCACAGAGGTCAGGGATATAACCACAGGGTAGGAGCCTCCAGTAATTGCAGCCAACTGCCCTGCCCATGCCCAGCAGGGCCATCAGGGAAGGAGAGGGAGGTGGTCACCAGGTCACGTCAGCCAGCTGCCTGCCACCCCCCTCTGTGCCCCTGCCAAGGGAATTCCAGATTGCCCACTGTCAACATCACCTTGTCTGCTTCTGCTTTTCCATTTCATAGAAGAGAAAACTGGCCCAGAGAGGAGGGGGCCTGCCCAGGGCTTACTGAGAGTTAGGGGCCTGGACTGGAACCCGGGTTTCTTGCCTTGCAGGCCAGAACTAGTTCCGATTGGATCTCTTGCTTGCCTATCAGAACTTTCTCTGGTGTTTTGCCTCTATTCCTGCTGCTATAAAACCAAGCAATTTCCATTAGAGATGGGCCCCTTGCCTCACTGAAAAGTTCCTTCCACTAATTCTTCCTGGTAACCTACACTCCTAGAAATCTGCCCTCAGGGTCCCTGCCCCCTTCTCATCCTAAGACCCTGTGACCCTTCTCCTCCACCTCCCTTCTGCTGGGGAAGGGGGCCAGGAGGGGTTGTAAATCAAGAGCTGACAGTTCCCTTGGCAGTAACAGAATGGGCCACCCACATGGCTCAGCATGCCCCACCCACCCCTTTCCCCTTCTCCCCCCATCCTCTATTCAGCTGAGAGTGACACATCAGTTCTGGGGGCTGCAGGGACCTCGGAGACTTTGGATCTGGAGGCAACAAAGGAACAGAATTTTCTAGGAATGGGGTCAGGGGAGCCCCGATGATGAGGGCTTGGGGCAGAGACCTTGCCAACTTACCTACCCCAGTGCAACCAGTTCAGCTTTACACACACACACACACACACACACACACACACACACACGCATACCCCTCCATCTAGTGTCTAGTAAGTCAGCCTGGAGGTAGTTGGTCACTGGGAGCCCAGGCATTACGGAGAGCCTGGCAGTGCCCTCCTTCCTGGCTCCCAATGACTAGACCAGGTGATGGGTCAGATTCCAAGGTCCCAGGAGGGCACTGTGCTTGTCTGGCCTCATGAGTACCCTCCCGTCCCCTCCTCCTCTTCTCAGTCATGAGCAGTGAGACTATAAAAAGTCCCTAAACACAGGGACCAAAATAGTCTGCCATCCACTGCCTCTTCCTTGCCTTCTCGGCTGGCCTTGATGCCTAACCACAGACGTTGCACCCTAGAAGCCTGGCAGACATCCTTGTACCCTCCATCCTCCCCTTGCCACCCCTTCTCCCAGTCCTGGGGTCAGTGGTCCAAACTGTGGCTAAGGCTTTGGCTCTGGACTGGGCTGGGGGACTGTGCTTACTGGCTTGGTGTCAGCTCCCTGCCCTTTTGTCCCTGGGTGCCCTCCCACCCCAGCCCTGGGCTCAGGATGTACTCACCTCTGTGTGGAGAGGCTGAATGCAGGGGTCCCGGGGCAGGGCCAGACTAAGGGCAGGAGGGACAGCAGGGACTGGAAGTAACTTTGGTGGCAGCCAAACCTCACTCTCCACAGGAAAAGCTGTGAGAGCCTCCACCCCCCAGATTAACCCTCACCTTCCTGACCCGGAGCCCGGCCTCCCTTAACTCCTTCCTGGTCAGTCTCAGCGCTGGCGAGGACCTACGCACCAGGTCCAGCTCCTCTACCTTACAGATGGTCACACAGGCCCTGACAGGCTAAGTGATTTGCATGGAGGCACAGTGAGCTTGGGGCACAGCCAGGACCCCAAACGAGGTCTCCTGTTTCCCAGGTTTCCTCCAGAGGCTTGGGGTGAAGATGTGCTCTTCCCCGGGGTCAGCCCCCTCTGCTGGGCCTGGGCGACTCCTCTTGGTTCCAATGGGAGGGCAGAGCAGAGTCTTGGCTGCGGTGCTTTTTTTCCCTCTAGGGCAGGTTTAGACCTGTCGTGGTCTGGGTGTGTGGATGGTGTCAAGCCTCTTCTCCCTAGGGGTGAGGCCAGGAATCTGCAGCCTAAGGGTGGGTGGGGGCAGTGGTGCTGCAGATGTGCAGGGTGAGCCTGCCCCAGCACGTCTCGGCACGAGGGTCACCCGGGAGCCCACTGGAGGTGCCTTTGCCCGACGTCCTCTGACGGCAAATGGGATTGGCTGCGAAGAGGATGATGAAGGAACGATTCTGGGACCCAGCCTGGGTCCTCTGGCCTCCTTCCTCGTCTGCTCCAACTTGGGGGCTTCTAGAGCTGGCACAGCA